AGTTTAGGCTTTGATACTATGATTTCAAACACCAGAATAGAAACACTAGAATGTAAAAACTTATTCTCAGCAATAAAGCAACCTGGAAGTGTAGATAAACTTGTGAAAAGTGAACTTGAGAAAGGTTTCTCCATTTACCAACTATAGAGTGGGTCCAATCGGGAAAGTACTCTAAAAAAAACCTTGGTTAATAGTTGACTTATCTTCACCACATAATAGTGAACATGCAAGTGTTAACTCTCTGATCAACAAAGAAGAATGCTCCCTATCGTATGTGAAGATAGATGATGCCATCGAAACAATTCAAAGCCTGTGGAAGGGAACAACCATGTGCAAAACCGATATATCAGACGCTTTTAAATTGGTACCAATCTTACCCTCTCAGTGGCATTTGTTCTATATCAAATGGAAGTCAAACTATTATTATTACAACAAATTATCTTTTGGATGTCGTTCTAACCCTAAAATCTTTGACAATCTATCCCAAGCAGTATGTTGGATTGCCACCAATAACTATGGTGTAAAGTATATACGCCACTTGTTAGACGATTTCATCACTTTTAAACGTCCAGAGGAAGACGGAGATACTAATATGAAACTTTTGTTTCATATATTTAAAACACTCAACATACCCATGGCGCTGCATAAAACTGAAGGCCCCACAACATGTTTAGAATTCCTAGGTATAATTCTAGATTCTGAAGCTATGGATGCCAGATTACCAGGTGTCAAGCTGTCCAGAATTAAGGAGTTTCTTACCTCTTTTTATTCACGGAAAAGCTGCACAAATAGGGAACTCTTACAGTTTTTAGGCCACCTTAATTTTGCAAGCAGAGTAATACCACCGGGAAGATCCTTTGTGTCTCATCTCATCCGACTGTCTACAACAGTCAAAGAACTGCACTATCACATCACAATTAATGCAGCCTGCAGGAAAGACATAAGGATGTGGCTAACATTTCTAATGGTTGGAATGGTATTAATTTGTTCTACAATGTGTCGCAGATCACATCATCAGAACTTAATCTGTTTACAGATACTTCAGCTACCTTGGGATATAGTGGATACTTCAGAGGACTATGGTTTTCTTCATCTCGGTCAGATGAACTATTACCCGTATTAAAAACCTGGATGCAAGACGAAGATGGCTTATCCATAGCCTTCTATGAAATATACCCTATAGTTGTTGCTTCAATTCTATGGGGGAAATATGGAAAAAACAAAGGATCATTTTTATGTGTGACAATATAGCAACAGTTGCTAAGCCCTTAATGAAACGCCTTACTCTAAAAGCAGCAATATATAACTTCATTTTTTCTTCCGTACATGTACCGGGTCGAACAAATTTAATAGCAGATGCTCTATCACGTTTGCAGATTTCGAAATTCCGCAGCCTCGCTCCTCAAGCACAAGATCAACCATGCAGTGTTCCTCATCCGAGGGAAGTGTTATGGATCTCAACGACACCGTGACAATGTTATGGACCAATGCAGTGGCACCGAGCACTAGGTGCACATACCAAACAGCCTTTCACGTATATGTAAAATTCCTTTTGTTATCAAATATTATTACAAATGCATGTATTTATGAGGTTGCTGTATCTGAAGATTACTTGATTTCATTCGTAGCATACTGTGTTAGCAAACTTCATCTACTTAACTATCAAGTTGTATCTGTGTACATGTGGAGTTAAATGTGTTTGCAAAATAACATTGCATATCCTGACAATACTCAGTTATGTAGACTTAAGGCTATATTACATGTATGAATGGTTTTAAACGTGTACAATCACCATCTCGCAGTTTAAGGTATCCAGTCACGTTCGACATTTTGAAAAGGGCTTGTCTCTATTTAAGGCAGATATACAATTTTACAATTTGATGTTAGAAACTGTATGTACTGTTGTATTTTTGGGCTTTTTGAAATGTGGAGAAGTATTTGATCCTTCTATGCATCTTTGTATAAGTGATTTATTTATCTTTGAGAATTATGACTGTACATTTACAACTCAAAATTTCTAAAACTGACCCATTCAGGAAAGGAGTCATCATTAAACATTTTTCTACAGACAATATTATTTGTCCTTTCGCTGTACGTTGTAAATATTTAAAGGCAAGGTAAAACTTGTCATGTTCTCCACAAAGACTAGTTCATTGTTTGTAAATCAAATGGTGCTCCTTTGAAAAGAGTTGAATTTATTTAAGCTTTTAAGCATGTGTTAACTTGTGTTGGTTGTGATGCGGATGTGTATAATGGACATTCTTTCCGAATTGGTGCGGCTACGACTGCAGCTTCTGTCCATGTGGAGGACCATATTATTAAAACATTTGGAAGATGGGCCTCCGATGCCTATTGTAGATGTATTAGAACTCCAGTATCTGTGTTACGAGATGCTCAGCGTTCCTTAGTATGTACTGTAGATTCATAGGCTGATCACACTACTTCCTATCTCACTACAGACTTGTAATAAACAATTAAGCTTGTAGCTTTACCTATAGATGTTATAATGTTAGCCTTATATATATTACTGGTTTATCATACACAATTTGGCATCATTTTTGGGGCACTCAGTCTCATATCTATAATGTACATAAGTATTTACATTTATATTTATTCAACTGATTTTTGGCCACCATTTCATAAATTTTACGAATGCTGTAACAATTAATATTATTTCCCCCCCAAAATTCTGTTTTATTTTGACACTAAAATCTTATTTTCCGGCTTTTGTGACTTCCCCATGTAGAAATCCAAAGCAACACGACGATTTCTATATATGCTACATGTAATACTTCATAGGAAGTTACACAGAGTTAATAAGGTATCAACATCCTTTCATGGTTCTCTTCCGGCTCTTGTAGCCCGTAACTGGTTTCTCACAGCCTTCCACAGCTGCTACACCGAGTTGAGATCCACTGGAAGTAGGGCTAGTCTCAAGACTCACTAGTTACACCGAGTTGACTGGTACAATTGAGATGTACCTTTCTTCCGGCTCCTGCGACTGGACTGCTGTCTTGAACTGGTTGTTAGCTATTGGAATTAATGGCTGAGTCTGCCACTACTTATGCCACAAGTAACGTGTATTTTGTGTTACAATTTATTGTATATGTTTAATAGATGTGTTCTGGAATGTTGTAGTGTAGATTAATAAACTTTGTACATTTATTCAGACTTCTTCTGGTATCCTTCCAACATAAATTTGTGAAACATACATTGTACAGTGTTTATGCTTTAAAAGACGAAACATCGATGTGGTCTAAATAATTATTTCATTCAGTCGAAAATTCATTTCAGTTGCACAGGTTTGATACGCGTTTTTGGTGGGATAATTTTTTGATGACGTTCGTGATTTGTTGGAGAATTTCCGGGGGAAAATTCTATAACTCTTGGTGGTAGTTATAGATAGGGATTTTCCACAGAGCCAATTTCCCCCAATAAAATGTTATAGTTGTGCGCATGTTATGAGGGGGACAGGAGGCGACATATTGCAACAAATATTTCTTCTTCAAAATGTTGACCAGTTCCATTGAAACACCTTTCAAACATAAGACTGAAGAACAAAAAAAGAAAATTTTATTTATTTATCATTTTTATGCACCCGGATTGATAGATCCGAGGCGTATATTGTAATTGTCCTGTCTGTTTATCTGTTTGTCTGTCTGTTGTCAACTTTAACCTTCGCCATAACTTTTGACCCTTGAGAGAAACAGACTTTATATTTGGTATGTATACTTCACTTATAAAATTCTTTCAAAAGACACCAAGGTTAAAGACCTTGACTTTGACCTACATGCTAAAAATAGCATTTTTTCAAATTTATCTTTCGACCCATATGAGATAGAGACTTCATATTTGGTATTTGGTATGCATACTTAACTAATAAAGCTCATACAAATAAAACGCCAATGACTTTGTGACCTTGACAGTGACCTTAATGCTAAAAATAGCTATTTTCGAACTTTCGCCATAACTTTTGAACCATAGAAGATACACACGTCATTTTTCATAACCTAGCTCCACTAATAAAGTTCTTTAAAATGACACCAAGGTCAATGACCTTGTGACCTTGACAGTGACCTAGATACTAAAAATTTCTATTTTCAAACTTTCACAATAACTTTTTAACTATAGGAGATAGAGACTACATGTTTTGTATGCATACATGTACGTACTCCACTAATAAAGTTCCTACAAATAACATTTAAATATATGATCTTGTGACCTTGACTGATTTATATGCTAAAATCGGTTTTTTGTAACTTTGCTGCCACCTGGCGCATAATGTTTCACAAAGACATCTTGTTTCTCACAGCAAACATCAAACTAAATGTTTTAATGCTACTTGTATGTTAAATATAATTGATTGGACTTTTTTCTTATTTTTAAATCACAAATTTTAATTAGACCGCATAAAAATGTATACGCGAATAGAAAAAGGAAATCAGTAAGTCACGTTTCCACTTACCCTGATTTTAATGTACAAGTACTTTTAAACCCGTCAAACCCCCCAAAAATAATTCGAATGTCTCCTAAATTTTAATGTAAGATATTAAAATAAAATTAACACTTGGTTTGTGCCTATCAAATAAACTGATCAGTGCTGGGAATTTATAACGCAAAGAGTATTTTAAAAATTGAAATTGAATACTTTAAGGAGGTTCAATTTCCAAACGTTATTTTTGAACATTAAGTTTGTCAAGTGTATTCTTCTGATCGCAGACTGAACTAAAATTAGGTTTGAACAAGCAATACAAGTACATGCATCATTTGTTTTTCAGTACAAATTTATAAAATCTGCTTACAATCGTATACATGTAAATGTAATATTACTTCAGCCCATTCTTCATATAATTATATATTATGTAAAAAAAAAATATTACACGAGAATGCAAGTGCAAATCTTTGCCGATTTATGTAATAAAATTAATTTACACGACATTTAAGTTTCAGGTTCCTGTTTGATATACTTTATTTCCAAGTAACTCATATTCACATCCTGGCATTTGTTATGAGAATCAAACAAATTAAAAACTTCCGTATTCTGTTAACCAACAGGATAAGGGATGTAAACTCATAAAAAGAAATGCTTTTTTACACACAGGGCGTTACAACACTGCAGAATTTTATTTTATTCTTGTTCATTCCTCGTACATCTCAGGGGTGTGATGGGTATGTCATTTGAATTTTTGTGATGTTGAATTTTCTGTCATGATTATATAAATGTCTTGTACACCATATTTAATCAATACTAGTGTATATTTATGTACAGTGCTTATAAACATGAAATATACGTAACTATATGTATACTTTTATTTATTTTTTGAAAGTATGAAGGAGTTTAGCTTCAGAAAAAAAAATCATACCAGAAAAGAAAAATTTTTATAAATGCTATGCATCATCATTTTAATTAAAGAAATCATGGTTGTTGTTCGGGATATGCTTGGAATGAAACATCACAAACATGTTCTCGTGAGTATTAAGTGATTCTTATGTATTTTCTACAATTTTTCTTAATTGCTCTTATGATATGTTATTTTCATTGAAATCTTTACACGAAAGCTTTTGTGACCCTTTCATTTAATATTCGGAGGAAAATACTTGTCTTTCTGTTTTTTTCGGTTATTCTGTTTATTCATCTACATTATCACATTTGTCTGCAAACACTTTAACCTTGCCAATAACTTCTTTCTGGTTGTGGTTATGCCTGATATAATTCTAATGTTGATCCCTTGTGAAAATACCTTTCTTCGGGTACCAAAACATTTGACCTTCTAAAACAAATCTTATACCAACCTTTAACATGACCATAACATTGAAAAAAAAAAACGTGCTAGAGCTTTCATACCTTAGAATTGTATTCATTGTAGTAAGACCTTTTATATACCTATTTTACTGAGTCGCCAACTTGGCGCAGTTGTTAGGCGTCTTCTCTAGAGTCACTGAGCAAAGGACTGAGCTCTACGTTAAGTTTTCGAGTCCACTACAGGGCGTTAATCCCCGGTCCTTTGAACGAAACCATATAATCAGAGGTACTGTATTGAAGTAGATGTTGGCACGAAAAAGCCCCTTCACTGCTAGTTGATCCTAAGTGTCTAGTATAAATTTTCAGCTCCCTCCAGGTAAGTAGCGCGACGTCTGCATATATGAGTGATAAATTCTCGAGAGGGCATTCAATAAAAAATAAATGTTATTAAGTTTAATAAGTTTTAACTACTTTTGCAAATTATTTATCTTAAATTGACCATTTATGTTTAAGGGAAATCCTTGGTGTTTTATATTTTACATGTACATGTGTATTGCCTCTGACAAGACCTACGTTGTATCTTTGGGAAGTTTCAACATAAGTTTTTATCCCTGAATCTTCTCCCTTGGGTTTGAGATATTTTGAGATATTCTACGTACGATATGATCTGTCATTTGGAGGCATCATGGATTTAAAAAACTTTTTTTACCCAAATGCAGCATGCATGGACGGATATGTTGGACTTAATTGCGAGAAGACCTGTCTGTATCCTAAATACGGTTTTAGATGCCAACACATTTGTAACTGTAACCAGACTAACTGCAATTTTTCCATAGGCTGTCCTTTGCCTCAGACTGGTAAGAAGATTATATTCCTTTCTGAATAAACGACAGCAATGCTTGTAATTGGTACATCAGAGAGAAAAAGAGGGAGGGAGGGAGAGAGAGAGACTAGATATCATACATTCACGTTCAACATAACATGCCGATACACACAATTAAAACTTATAATTTTTTTTCAACACCACTTAAACAAAGAGATGAGAAACACTTTAAGTGATGAATTATTTTCAATTGTAGAAACGTGTTTGATAATAAAAATAATATTTACTCAACATTACAATACAATGTCAAATATTTGATTTTTTTTTTTTATTTTACTGAAGCTGACATACCCAATGGAACATATTCTAACGGAGAAACACAGAGTATTTATTCTTCCTCAGGATCGACAACAGTATTCAGGAAACGAGAAAGACATTTAAAGAATAATATTGTTTCTTTGAGTGCTTTAGTTGTTTCTTGTTCATTAATTTTTATCGTCATCGTTTACGTTATTTGTCGGACACTAAAGTCAAAAGGACGAGGCAGTTTTCGACATCCTAGTGAGGATACAGGAGACATACCTCAGGCAAATGAAAATCATTATTCTGAGATCAAGGAAACGAATATGGTAACCCAGATCGACATGAAAATGTAGAAATGAATCCATAATTTATTTTTATTGTGTGTAACAAATAAAAAAAAATTAAAATTAGAAGTCTTTTTTTCTTATAAAAATCCTATGGTGGAGAATTCAAAAATTAAAAATTATTTTTATTTTAAAAAAATTGCAAAGATATTGAACACTCTCTTCCTTTCCTGTTGCTTTCTGAAGGAAGTTTAAAAATGCAATTAATAATTTAGAATCACTAATTGTTGTTGAAATTTGATTTTCAAATCTGTGACATACAAGTACGCGCGCACATATACGTTGAATATAACTAGAAAACTGACCTGTCAGCAAGGGCCCCGCCATGGGGTAGAATTATAAGGGTGCAGCTTACGGAATGATTAAAAAATGTACGAAGAATAAGCAACTGTATTCTTAAAATTTTAAGATAATTCCTGAATATTCAAACACATGAAAATAATATCCTTGTATTTACATTAGGCAATAAAGAAAAACTTAACATTGAATATATATTTACACAATTATGAAGCTTATCTTATATAAAATGCCAGCCTTCAATGAATGCAAATATAACTTCAAACAAAGAGCAGTTGCAGACAAAGATTTTCATTAATTTTAAAGTGACAAATAAATAAAAGCCTACTAAATTTTCTGCAGCAGGCTAGATAATTAATCCCAAGGGATTAATTGTACCTCTCTAATCATTTTCTTCTAAAGTTACAATAAGAACTTTTCAGTATTAATGATAGAATGGGGTTTTTATACAACTACCTTAAAAATTAATAATTTTCTTGAATTAACATAAAGTAAAAAAAATAAATCAAAAAATCTTCTTTAATCTATTTCTTGTTTTTAGAATTCAATGAAATCATAACTATTTAACAAACATAAATTATAAAAATTTACATTTAAATCCACATTTCAGAGTGTTCATAGCATTCCAAATTGACTTAACTTCAAAACAAACTTCATTTGCGGTAATTCATCTCAATGTGACAGATAAAGATAATGCTCTGGATTTTCTAAAGCTAATTAATCCCAAGGGACTCGTAGCAGCATTCAGTTTACAATGGGAACATCTTCAGCAGTTATCTCTCTTTGCCAATGCATTCTTGTGTAAAGTAAAGGAATCTACCCCACCACCCCAGCTCCAAACCAGGGGACATAGAGAAACAAACTTAGCATCAAAATATGTCTTTCTGCCTACTGAACTATCTTACCAAATTTGAACTTGATTGGGCAACCATAAAAAAAGTTGCCCATTCATTCTTATGCATAGTTAAGGAATCTACCCCACCACCCCAGCTCCAAACCAGAAGACATAGAGAACCACACTTAGCATCAAAATATGTATTTCTGCCTACTAAACTACCATACCAAATTTGAACTTGATTGGGCAATCATAAAAAAGGTTATTAGAAAAAAACAGAAAATTTGTGGACGGAAGAGTGACAGAAGGACAGACAGACAGACAGAGTGATTACTATAGGGCACCCGCAAATCCTTGCGGGGCCCTAATAATAAAAATAGTTTGAAATATTTCTTTTCCTGTGCAAAAAAAAAATACAGGCCCATTGGCCACACCCCTCACCTGAGTAACTTTGTTGATGTATTTAAATACCATATTTCCCTCTTGTGGATCCGCCCTAACCCCTTAAGTTAGAATCTACATAACCCAAGGATGCTTCATTATTAGTTTCAGCTTTTCTGGCCTTGTAGTTTTTGAAAAGATTTTTAATTTTCCTATATAGTTCAATGTATTTTCCCTATTGTGGCCCCTCCCTACCCCTGGGGATCATGTTTTTGACAATCAAGATTCTACACAATCCCAGGATGCTTTCACATAAGTTTCATTTTCTGGTCAAATTGGTTCTTGGATAGAAGTTTTTTCAAGATTTTTCCTAATATATATTTCTTTGTTAAACATGGATTTTTGGCCCCAGCCTACTCCCGGGGGTTATTATTTCAACAATCTAGATTCTACAATACCCCAAAATGCTTCCAAATAAGTTTCAGCTTCTCTGGTTCGATGATTCTTGATTAAAAAAATTAATGATCCCTTCCTATTTTTTGCCTTTTCTTGACTATCTTCCCTTGCAGGAGGACTTAAACCTTCATGTTAATAATTTTAAACTCCTCATTACCTATGAATGATTTCAAGTTTTTTGAGATATATTATTGATTAATAATACTTGATTGTGAATCTTTATTTTTCATTATAATTTTATTGATTATCATGTTCATGTATTATTTACTTTAATTTGTTAAAATTTACATAGGCATTGCCTGTTGCCCAATCCTGATTGAATTATACTCAATAAAATATGTTTAAAGTAATGATTTCAAGTTTTGTTAAAATTTACAAAGTTGTTCTTGAGAAGTTGAAAATGTGAGAATTTACAGACGAACGACGGACAATAAATGATCAGCCACTTGAGCTTTTAGCTCAGGTGAGCTAAAAAAATTGTCATTATTATTTCCCACCTTTTCATAATGTAGCTCACATGTTATATTATGTATTATAAAGTAATCAAATGGTGGAACACAATTTTTAAACATGCACAAAGGGTGCTCAAGAAGTTCACAAACTTTCTTTTTACATGTATATACAAAAGCAATATTCAGATCAAAATGAAATTTGGCTCACATCTGGTCATTAACGTCTTTCAAGTGCTGAACAGAGTTAAAGTATTTCACATTCTTCAGACTATACAATCTCTCTGTTTTGTGTTCGTCGAAATCGCATTTAAAGAAATTTACAATTATTTCATTGGTTAAATTGCTGTTTAGGGCGAGGGAAATTTTTTACTCTTGATTTAATTTTTGAAAAAAAAAACCAGAAATACAAAAACTCCTAAACCTTTAGCCGAGATGTCGATGCAAAGTTTGGGGGGGAGGGGGGGGGGTTATAGGATAGGCTCATCTCATCATCGTCGAGATGAGCAAACCTGCATAACTTTAAAATAATCTTCAGGTTCTGTAAAAATAATGAAAATGCGAACTGCCTAAACTAGAAAGAGAGTTAAAGGTAGTTCATTTACCAATGCTAAGAAGTGGAGAAAATTTTCGCTACACAACGCTACAGCCCAGCAGCTAGTGAAGTATGAGCCAGATTGGGCCAACAAAAGAGAAGATTGACTCCGAACAAGGATTTTTCAAATAATTCTGCTATGACCTTGACTTTTCACCTAGAAACATGGTTAAACGCCACTGCATTGCACACCTGTTACTCAAAAGCACTTTGTGGATTAAGTATGAGCCTAATTAGGCCAAGGAGAGAAAAAATATGCCCAGAAGAAGGATTTTTAATATAATTCTGCTATGACCTTGACCTAGAAACATTGTTCAGTGCCGATGCACATCCGTTACTAAAAGGCACTCTTTGTATCAGCTGCAGATTTGTAGCGTTATGGTTTTATATATGTATTTGTCTTTGACCATAACGCTACAGATCCCATAATGCAAAATAGGTGCAATTTATCTCCTAACCCTTTCTAGTCGTATGTACAAGTAATAAACTTGCTTGATTAAACTTATTTGTTAGATTGCTGTGAACTTATTGCCTGTAGAGACAACTATAAATGGTTAGGAGATGGATAAAATTCATATAAATATATATATTGCCTACAAAATATGTCTAGAATTAGGGAGTGAAAGGTAATAAGAAATACAATGAAAACAAAAGAAATTATCTTTAATCAACATGTATTTTCTGAAAAGAATGACACTTGCTTCTATCTGCTACATGTATTTCCGCTTTCTAATGTCTAATGTCTGCAACAACAGCAATCCAAATAAATTGCCTCTTATCGTGGTATAATTATTACTCTGAATTTTTTAATGGGATTTTAAAATACCAAATATTCTGACGATTTTAATTTCTATTACTATCGAGATCTAAAGAAACTTTTGTGATTGCTGGGCTCCACAGCGCATCTCCACTTATTCATGGTCTTAACTCATACTCGTAAGCAATGCAGGTTTGCAAGCTCCACACAGCATAGCATTCAACAATCAGTATGATAAAATCACACTCTCTTGGTGCAAGATATGCGAATGTTGCTTCCAAAGTATATCAAATCTGGATACTTTGAAATATTTTGCTACCGTTACTTAGAATCTCGTTATGTAACTAGTAATCTCTTTCCGTTATCTCATTAGTGACATCTCCTTCACCTTGTCCACTACAATAAAAAATGTATCATTGCTATGAGTTATTTTCTGTAATTCTACTTACGAAGTAAAGTTGAAGAACACTTTTAGTTCACGTCAGTAAGTCAATGCAGAAATTGAGATGGACGATCTGGAAGCTAAGTGTCAAATATATGAAACGTAGGTAATCAAAGAGAACGAAGCTCACCTCGACGAATGTAATGAGTTAAGGTAATGCAAATCTCACATCATAATTTTAAACAGAAAATTTTTATTTTGTCAACAATTTTCAAGCGAGTTATGTTTAAATAGGTCTTTAAATTCATTGGGGATTGACCTGTTCAAAAAACTTTAACTCGTCACACATCTGAAAATGTAGGTCACATCCAGCATCCAAAGCCTGTCTGGTAGTGTCCATAGCTAGATGCATTATCCATGCAAAATTGGTCCGGGTAGGCTTTTAATTACTTTGAAATAACCTGCTCGTATAACTTTAACCTGGTCACTTATTTGGAAAATGAAGGTCACATCCAGCACCCGAAGCAAGTCTGGTAGTGTCCATCCTTAGATGCATCATCCATGCAAGTTTGGTCTGGATAAGGCCGCTAATTACTTGGGAAAGTCCTGCTACTAACCTTGTCACTCATCTGAAAAATGAAGGTCACATCCAGTATCCGATGCAAGTCTGGAAGTGTCCATCCCAAGATGTATCATCCATGCAAGTTTAGTCCGGGTAGGGAGAGAGAGAGAAGGAGAGAGAGAGAGAGAGATATGAATGGTGACGGTAGCTACTTCGGAATGGAGCTGCTCTAAAAACTTTAACCTGGTCACACATCTGGAAAGTGTAGGTCAAATCCAGCATCCGAAGCAAGTCTGGAAGTTGTAGATCTCCGTCGAGGTGAGCTAAAAAAGTTTATTTCTTTCAAATATGTAATTTCACACACAAGAGAGTATCCTTCCTTTGATGCATGATCCCTGCAATTTTAGATAAGCTTTAAAAAAAGACTTTCTTAAAAATGTTTAACTTATAAATCATTCTTCTAAGATATGCATGTCAAAACCAGTATCCGAAGCAACACTGTGTGCATCCTCAGAAGCAAATTTGTTCAACAAAAAACTTATTCATGTATTTACTTTATTTTGCTCTAAAACTTTAATTCAAATAAATAAAAACAATGAATTTTATATTATCCATCTTTTGGTAGTAGGATGAACCTGCTCTAAAACTTTAACCTTTTCAATCATCTTAGAAAGTCAGATTCAGCATCTGATCCAGCCAGGTAGTATGCATCCTCAGATGCATCAACCATGCACATTTGGTCAATAAAGGGCTTCTTGTATCATGGTAATGTAGCCTGTATCAAACATTTAACTATTCACACATCCGGAAAATGTAGATGAGATCCAGCATCTTAAGCAGATCTGGTAGTTTGCATCCTAAGATGCATCAACCGTCTAAGTTTGGTCACCAAAGAGCTTATAATTACTTGAAAATGAGACTTGCTCATAAATCTGCTCCAAAACCTGTTCCAAAAACCTGGTCATCCCTTAGCTGAAATTGCAGCATCTCAAAACTTCACTGGTACAATGAATTACACTAGAAGCATCAAGCATGCATCTCTTATCAATGTAGGGCATAGAAGTACTTAAAGAGCAAAACGCATCAAAAACTTCAGCTGAGACGCCGACACCAACGGTATCATATACCCCCTCTCCTTCAAAAGAATTCGTTAGTGTGAACTAAATATTGATATTCAGTGTTAAAATGAGAACTCAAGGTTTAATTAAGCAACCAATTGATTGTATTAATTTTTGTAGGTCTTACTGCTTAACAAAACACGTTTTGATATTTTTGATTTATTGAAACAAATGTTCTCATCTCTACAGATTTGCCCTCTTTTCAATTTACACATTTATGCAGTTACCATATACATAGTTAAAAGAAATACTTTACGAGATCTTGTGTACAATTAGTCAATAAATATATAACAATTCAATACAAAACTAATTTAACTTGATTAAAAAGAAACTTTCACTTACCTGACAGATTTGTAAGTCTTTTCTACAAAACAAGATAATCGCGTTTTAGTCAATCAAAGAGAAACATGTGTATAATATATTCTGTTAAGCTTACCATGCTTACCATTGTATTTGAACTTACATATACATGCATGCATGTTAGAAATGCTTAAAATGACAAAGATAAGTCTTATCTCCTGTTTTAGACAAACATTTATATCATTATGTGTAAAATCCAGTGGAGCACTACCTTTTGCCTATAATAAAAGTTATAAAATATATAAAGTGATATTTTAATCAATAAAATTTGCAAAATATTGTTTTTGCATGATGATATATACAGTTCTTATCAGAAATGCAATTGTCGTAATTGGTGATAAGTGGTATCTCGGTGTATTTTTTCAAGATATAATTTACTTTCATCCAAAGAAATCGAAATTACTTTTTTTTTTAATTAACGTAAAACAAGAAATTATAGCATTTAGAAAGATTTCTTTAGAATACTCTTTTTTAATTTATTTCAAAAAGAATAACAAAAACAACACAAACATAATGAAATCAATATTGAAGGAAAATACTTTCGTGTTTTCAGTAGTCCCTTAAGGGTATCTGCAAATAGGGTTTTTTCGATAAGAAATCCTGATTCCAGATACTCACTTGCATTTGTCTTTTGATGAATCCGACAACAGATGAATATAATCAATGACAGAGAAAACAGAGGTGACACAATGCCTAAGATAATTGCTAAAACCCTGCAATAAAATGAAACGAACGGTTTTGAACTGACATTTACACATCATCACCACAAAGAAAAATACTCTCATTTGGAAGTAGATAACGATGGCCTATGATTTATTTTAATTTCGATAATTTAAATATCAATCCTAAGAAAAGAAAACCTTAACTTTGTGTAAACTTTTGGTTATTTCTTACAAAGGCACAGCATATTGTCTAACATACATACATATGTACTTATATTTACTGAATATTAAATGTTGTCCTTTGCTTCTTTTATGCAACAGCTACATGTACTTCATTTGTTATCGTACTAACAACCAAAGAAAACATTTTATCGTTTAATTTATTATATTCATTAATTTTACATGTTGTGGCCTATAATGAAAGACAGTTGACTCCTTTATTTAACAGAAGCTATAAATATTTTGTCTGGTATCCGCGTACTCATAAGCTTTACATGTTTCAAATAGACAAAAAAAATTAATAACATTACAAATGTAATCAGGTAATTGATCATATTTATTTATTGAGTAGCGAAGTATTCTGCCCTCAAAGCGTGAAAAGGATATCAAAGGCTTGAAATAATATACAAAGACAAGGAATCACAAAATTATCGTGCAGGAACACAATTTACGTTTAGTGCAACAAAAAAAAAAAAAAAAAAAAAAAAAAAAAAGTATATAAAGGCATATATGTTTAGAATACTGCAAACAGAATTGGAAACTTTTCATTAATTTTTTTAAAGAAATGTTATTATATGGCTGATGGTACATTTCTGGCAGATAGGATACTTCAAGTGTGTAAATTTAAAATGATACAGTACAATATTGTAATGTAAGTTTTTATTAATCATCTACAGGCGCATTAATTATACATTGTATTTAAGCATGCGTTGTTATAGTCATACTACTTGGTAACATTTTGATTGCCAAATACTCGCATGTTAATATCACACAAGAAGTATCTATAAATACATACCACTCTTCTCTTCAACGCTTTTATCTAAATATTAAACATTTCACTTGCTTGTAGTTCCAAATCAAGTGTTTCAGTAAACATCATAATTTTCTAATCAGTTCTTCTATAAATTGATTATGCAGTGGCATAAAAGGTGCTGTTAAATCAAATTCAATCGAGCAAAGAACGAATCAGGAATAAGACAATGTAGTCTAATAATACTTGTTGTTAATGTATTTTCATAATGTCATTTATTTTATTTAGTATTCATTACTAACACAATTATAATTCTATATAATAAAAGTATTAATCACAATACAATTTACGCCAGCACTTACTTTCATTAAAAATTTCGATGCTTTCTTTTATTCGTCTATCAAAACTTTTCTATTCTTTAAAAATAAGTAAGCACTGAAAATGTATGACTTATTTACAATCTAAAAAATCAATGCAGCATATGCATTTGTATTAAAATCTTAAAAATAGCCTAGTTATCTCTTATTATGGAATTTCAATCAGAGTTTTTGTGGCAACATCATTTACTGTAGTGAGATTATTGGATAAAAATTTATTATTCACGTTTTTCTAATCTAATTAATCCAATGTTGTTTTCTTGATATTCGTAAAAATTAAATGAAAAATGAAAGTATCAGTGTACAATTTGTATTATAGAAAGAACATGGTTAATTCAGATCTTCTTCCAACCAAATTATTTATAGATACTTTCTACTGCCATCTCATAATGGACATGTTATCTATATGCTACATTTTTCACATGCAAGTGTCAAATATGCAATTGCAGTGAATACTGCCATGCTTAAATACATTTAGATCCCTACAAACTATCTTAATCTATTCAGTCATTCACTACTTCTCTCAAATGAATACAAATGCAAGAGCATACTATACGTATAAAAAAGAATGGGGGGGGATAACGCGGGCAGAGTGCCTATATCGTCAGATATTAAGAAATCACATTTGATATGTAAATTGAGTAATTTAAATTTACCTCTCATTATTGAAATTTATGAAATTATGAGGGGTACCTGTAAAGTGCGAAACGAAATAGAAACGAAACGAAACGAAATCTGCCGAAACGAAACGAAATCTACCGAAAAGAAACGAAACCTACCGAAACAAAACGAAATCAAAACGAAACGAAACGAAACGAAATCAAAACGAAACCTGCCGAAACAAAACCAAATTTTCAGAATGTTTTCATTTTAAGGTGTATACTAAGTAAATATAGTTCTATATAATATGTAACTGCATATGTTTCATTTTGCTTTATATGAAATTTGAATAGTCCAAGAACTTTTGTATAAGGGGCACCCCTACTTATTTTTACCACAGGTACCTTACTCAATTTCAGACACCCCGCTTCAAGCTAATATTTTGTTAATATATCAATTATTGACCTACATAAAAATAACATCGTTCGCTTTGAGAGACTTTTATCTTGTCAATTAAATCGTTTAAGAAGTCTTTGATGGAGTCTATCTATTGTAAACCATTAATTTATTGCTCGAAAATTATCTCGATACAAAAAAGACCATATATGGGATACACAAGCTTCCGGTTGGGAATATAAATGGATAAAACAAGACAGCTCGGAATGGAATTTTTGGAAGTCTCTGGTTAATCATATGTTTAAAGACATTCGCAATAAAGCAGTACCTATCTTTATTTCGACCCGTACATAAACAAGCCTTAAGTTTACATGTAACACATCAATTTCGATAAATGTGTTGAATCTAGGTGAATATATAAGGGCTGAAAATAAGAGTAAGACAGAAAAAAGAAAATACTACACATATTGAAATTATACATGCATAGTATATGCTCGCGCATATTTGCAGTTGGCAGCAGTTCATACATGTAAATACAGTCTATAAAAGGGAGCATATCGGTGTTTAAATTTTAAATTAACGAGTGCTTGAAATTGTGTTAAGTACCTATAGTAAAAAACAAGAGGCCCAGGGGCCACAGCGCTCACCTGAGCACATCGGGCTTGAATTTACCCCCCCCCCCCCTTCCAGGCGTTCATCATTTGAACAAACTAGAATCTACACTACCTGAGGATGATTCCATATTAGTATCACTAATCATAGCTTTGAAGTACTTGAAAAGAAGATTTTAAAATGTTTCCCTATATATCCCTATGCAAAACTTGGGTCGGCCATTTTGGCCCCACCCTTTCCCCAGGGCCGAGGGTCATAATTTGAACAAACTTGAATCTACACTACCTGAGGATGATTCCACATGAGTTTCATCTTTCCTGGCCCAGTGGTAATTGAGAAGAAGATTTTTAAATATATTTCCTATATATTCCTATGTAAAACTTGGGTCGGCCATTTTGGCCCCATCCTTGCCCCGGGGTCATGATTTGAACAAATTTGAATCTGCACTATATGAGGATGATTCCATATGAGTTTCATCTTTCCTGGCCCAGTGGTTCTGGAGAAGAAGATTTTTAAAGATATTTCCTATATATTCCTATGAAAAACTTGGGTCGGCCATTTTGGCCCCACCCTTGCCCCAGGGGTCATGATTTGAACAAACTTGAATCTACACTACCTGAGGATGATTCCACATGAGTTTCACCTTTCCTGTCCTAGTGGTTCTTGAGAAGAAGATTTTTAAAGATTTTTCTTATATATTCCTATGTAAAACTAGGGTCGGCCATTTTGGCCCCATCCTTGCCCCGGGGGTCATGATTTGAACAAAATTGAATCTACACTACCTGAGGATGATTCCACATGAGTTTCACCTTTCCTGGCCAAGTGGTTCATGAGAAGAAGATTTTTAAAGATTGTTCCTATATATTCCTATGTAAAACTAGGGTCGGCCATTTTGGCCCCACCCCTTGCCCCGGGGGTCATGATTTGAACAAACTTGAATCTACACTACCTGAGGATGATTCCACATGAGTTTCATCTTTCCTGGCCCAGTGGTTCTGGAGAAGAAGATTTTTAAAGATTTTTCCTATATATTCCTATGTAAAACTTGGGTCGGCCATTTTGGCCCCACCCTTGCCCCGGGGGTCATGATTTGAACAAACTTGAATCTACACTACCTGAGGATGATTCCACATGAGTTTCATCTTTCCTGGCCCAGTGGTTCAGGGGCCTGTTTCACAAAAGTTTCCTAAGATATGTCGTAAGACATAACTTAAGATATGCCTAAGTTATAACTTAGGAAGTTCCTAAGATTTGTCACAACTGTTTCACGAAACAATCTTATCTTAAATTTTTCTTAAGTCATTTCTTAAGTTGTGCCTTAATAAGGACTAATGAAATAAATTCTCCGCTCTGTATATCTACAACTCTCAGTATGTCAGTCTGGATTATACTTTTAGCTTCAGAAAGGGAGGGGATTATCCCCCTTTCAAAGTACTTGGACAGAGGTATGTTTTAACTTAGCGAAGTTTGCTGCTAGAACTAAGCATTCACAGACACACCCTTTCAAGCCTCCTTTCCCTGCGGGAACACGAAATTTGTATTTTTTTAAAATATTGTTTCACGTTTTATACCTTTACTTTATTTTGCTCTTTATAAGGTATCGATCCCAGGTATTGTTTTTACTATACTTTTCTACTTGTCAATTATTGAATGAAATTTAAAAATGGTTGCTTCGTAGCGAACACATGTGAGGGCAATAAAAAAATGACTGCTCCACGTTAGTTGTTAGTGCTGTGTAAAGCTTTCTCACATATATAAAATAAGAATGCCATGCTAGAAAAAAAAATCCCAAATTCGCGACTACAGATATGAAAATACTAAAAGAAGAAGTTAAAAAGGAATTTTTTTGAAATATCTTGCACAGCTTTACATTGTATTAAGCGGGGAGCATACCTGGTTGTAATCTCATGGCCGTAGAAACTGGAGGAGCACGGGAGGGGGGTATAATAATAATTTATCCTCAGATAAATTAGAATACTATAGAAAACAAAACTGCGTTATGTTTGTGTCTTCTAAATAATAACGTTCTAGAGGAGATTAGATGCAACCATTCTTTAGGGAAACATCTATATTTCCGGAGCTTGGTTGAGGGTTCA